AGTTCAATCCATCCAAAAATCAATATCCATATACCAGTCATCAAAGTCCATAAATCATCAACAATAAATCGGTGTACCAACAATAATAATCCATAGATTTCAATGTATCATATTTCAAAACATATAAAACCATTATGTAGTAATCAGGAACATACCTCTATAATGGGTTCAGATAGTAGATATACTAATTGCTGGTTTCACCACGCTCTGCTATAGTTTTCGAACGGGTGAATACTGGTATACGTGGTTTAACTGATCTAGAAGAGCTGGGTCGAGCTGTCAAACGATCCGGAGAGTCTCTTGTACCTTTAAACAATAATAATTAATTAGCCCCAAATCTTACTTAATTGTTCAAAGCTAAAATACTTAAGTATATAAGCATTTTTTAGGTTTGACTATCATTTTGGGGTATTTCGAGTCTGAATTTGGCCAAACGGATTGCGGAATCGGAATCAGGACATCGAAAAACATAAAGTATGAATTTTCAAAAATTCATATTCTTGGTCAAAGTCAAATTCAACCACTTTGACCGTCAATGTGGAGGCCTTTGGGTTCGAATTTGATGAAACAGACTTCAGAAACAGATTCGGGACGTCGAAAACTATCAGAATAGGTATACTCGAAAAAGATTTACGATCATTTAAGGGTCGGTCAAAGCCATTTTAAGTTTTGGTCAAAGGAAGTCAATGGTCAACGGTCAACGGTCGGGTCGGGTCAACGGTCGGGTCGGGCCAGACTGGTCAAACCGGTTCAGACCGGTCAAACCGATTCGAACCGGTCAAACCGATCAGAACTTGTTGAAAACCGGTCAAACAGGTTTCCAGCCCTCCACTCTCCCTGCGGCGGCGCGTGAGGCCTTCTTCGGGGGTCTAAAAATTCCGGAAAATTTTCTTAAAATTATTTTAAGCGATTTCGAGATACTTACAAAGATCGGTTCAGATTTTTGAACGGCGGAGAGCTCGATTTCAACTCAGCCGAATCTTTGATTGCTCCACCTCCTCACGCGCCGTCGTCGACAGCGAACAAGGTTGACACCGGCGGACTCGAAACGACACAAGGAACACTATGGTGCAGGAGGTGTCGTAAACGGATCAACGATCGGCGGTGAATTTAAGATTTTCCCGGTGATAGAGCTAACAAAAACGTCGAGACTTTGACTGTAACTTCCCGACATTTGGCAGCGTTTCGCTTCAATTAAATTGAAGGATTTGTTCCACGCTCGATGATGAACACAACGGTGGTTTTAAAATGACGATCGAAATTTGGATGGCGTCGGAATCAGAGTTGGAAACGGCGTATGGGAAAGGAAAATTGGGAGCATTTTGGTTCTGAAAATCAGAACCAAATGCACGCTTATAATCACCTAAAGCTGCCGACAGTTTTAGGGTAAATTCAAGGCTTGGTCCCTGGATTTCCTTTACTTCTAAAATGACCTATAAACTCTCATAAATTTTAATTTAGTCACCAACAATTTACCAATTTTCACAATTAACCTCCAATTTCAATTAAATATTATTTTGTAAATATTCGGGTTGTTACAGTATATGTACCGAAGGACCGTGTAGACCCTCAACTCTTGGCATGCTAACTATACCTATAACTCTCGTATCATATAACATGGGCATTTTTCTTTTGCTTCATATATTCATGTACTCATATCATTGCTCTTATGATCACATATCACATGTGCATATAATCACGTAGTTTACTTTCATGTAATTTATGTCACTTTTCATATGAATTCATATTCATGTGTCACATAGCTCGTATCACTTTGCATGAATTCACATAAACATATATATCATTTAATTAATGTCTTATTCTAATATCATCATATATATATCATCTATGTTTCATCACTTAATCTCATATCATATAACATGTATTCACATACACTATTTATACCAGTTCACATAGCTTATCACACTAACATGTATTCACACCATTCATGTAACATATGCAATAATATATATATCGCATACACTCATGCCACATAAGTGTCATATCAATCACAAATCGAATAATATTTTAGGAGTCAATTCTTACCACAGTAACTCCGTCACTGACTCATCGCAAGCCAATGTTTGTTCAATAACCTAAGTACAAATTAAATTGCACTCACCTTAGGCTTGCTTTCTTTTACTTGATCCTAATTCTTTTATTGTTCCAGAACTTGTTTAGGCTCAATATCTACATAAATATAAATTTCAAAACAATTATCAGAAGCCTAAACCTTAAACTTGATATTAATAACTTAGACTAGTTTAATGAACCAAAATTCCATTTTTTTTGTTTAGGGGGGAATCGATACCCCCCAGAGGGTATCTGTACCCTCTGCATAATTTGTAAAACCCAAAATTTTACTGTTTAAACCCGAAAATCGTCAACTCTTCACTCAATTCTTCTATTTTAAGCCTATATCATACCATTAAACTCAATTACCATTACTTAAACCAACTTATATCCATATAAATCATCTTTATCTTCCATATCTCATTATGATTCTTAAAATTAAGAATCATACCAAATTTTCCACATGTTCTAAATTCAATTCTAACACTTCATACTTCTTAATTTCACTTATGACAAGTTAAATTTAACTTTCATTTCTAATTATGAACTCTATTCCAAGATTTCATTCAAGAACTCAAAATCTTTAATTTTCTCAAACTCCTTTATCTTTTGATTTTAATATAACTTAAGCTTAGTTATCATCTAATGATCAAAATCCATACTTAAAATCAACAAATAATCAAGAAATCAGAAAACTCACCTTTGCTTGGGGTGCTTCACAGTGGAGAAGAAGAAGATGAAGAAGAGAATAGAGTTTTCCATTTCACACTCCCTCTCTACGTGTTTATCTCCTATTAAAGGGGGAAAATATCTTTCCTTGTCAATTGACCATTTTGCCCTTTAAATCATTGGATAATTACTAACAACTTTCCGGAAATATTCCCAAATAAATCATTGAACTATTCAACTATTCTACTTTGATTACCAAATTATGAAATTTTACAATTTAGTCACTAACCCGTAATTTGGGATGTTACAAGTATTTAAATATAACTATAATTAGTAAAACCAATTAAATAAATGTTTGTATTTAACTATTTATTAAATTTTCTATAGATTTGGAATTGACTAAGAAAAGTATGTTTTAAAAAAAATTAATAATTTTTAAAGGTAAATTATGGAATTTTTTATTGTTAAAAATTATGAAAAATAATTTAATTAATATTTTATTTTAAATAATATATCTTTAAATTTTTTAATTAATTTATAATTATATGTTGGATCTTTTATAATTTTAATTTTTTATAAATTAAATTAATGATACTTAGCGGTACTCAAACGTTAATGATGTTCGGTGATGCTCCTCGAACGTGATAGACTCATCCTATATATATATCATTAAGTCTAAATTTAAACCCCAAAGGATGACATACTTAGAGTTGTTAATAACAAGTGACAAGCTAACAACTTTAAAGTCAGCTAATTTTTAAGTTTATTTAATTCTACGTTTTGTTAAGGGTTAATTAGAGCAAATATTCTCAAACTATCATCTAGATTTTAAACTAGTACCTAAACTTTATAATATTTAAATTGAAATTTCAAACTATTAAAAATATATCAATCAAATCATTACACATTGTTATGCTTTAGGATTCTTTGTAGGGTTTTTTGAAAGAATAAGAAGGAAAGGAATTTTAGAGAATTTAGAAAAGATTCATTTCATTCAACATAAAAAAATCCGTGAGGATTGGGTACAAAGTTTTATATATCAACAGGTAAATTACACGCTTACTCATTGAACTTTACTCTCTTTTATTTCATTCACCTTACTTTCAATTTTTTTCAATTGGCTCACTGAACTTTAGACATTAAATTTTTTTGTCACTAAACTTTAATCATTGAATTTTTTTTGTCAATCGTTAATTTCCTAACGGAGTTATGACGTGGCAGTTAAGATCAAAATGACGTAGTTTTGGATCTTATAAAAAAATCAAATTTATACCAAAACAAAGTAGTTTTGGTCTAAATACAAAATTATTTTTTTTTCATTTTTTTGCTCTTTCCCTCCTTTTTCTTCCTCGCACATTCTATCCACCATATCGAACACCATTCTAGCCACCATCAGCCACCGTCGTCGGATGTCAAAGATTCTAAAAAAAATTCATCGAACGTATCTCACCATTTTAAATGTGATTTTGGCGTTTCTTCAATCTAATTATGGTATATCCAATCTAAGAGTACAAATAAAATACTAACCCCCAAATAGCAAGCCACAATGGATTCTCCCCCTGCCACAAGAAACTAAATCAACAACCCAACAATTTTGTAAACCCACTCAACAAATAACAATACCTATTAGCAGCAGACATGCAAAAGGAAAAATAGTATGGAGGATTTCATGGTTTTATTAAAATCAATGGATAGTATGTGGTTAAGAAACTAAGGCAAAAGATATAATTTTCTACCATGCAAATTGTTATTATGAAGGTCGAAACAACGACCAACGTGGTGGCTGGAATTTAGGTTTATTGAAGCCGATGAGAGATAGAAAGAGGATGGGAGAAAGAAGAAAGAAAGAGGATTGGAGAAAGAAGAAAGAAAGAGAAAATGAAAGTACGATAGACCAAAAGAAAGAAATGGAAAGCACGTGATTAAGAAAATGAATAGAATTTTTTTTTATTTACACCAAAACTACATCGTTTTGGTATAAATTTAATTTTTTATAAGATCCAAAACTATGTCGTTTTAATGTTAATTACCACATCATAACACTGGTACAAGATTAATGACAAAGTGACAAAAAAATTTAATGTCTAAAGTTCAGTGAACAAATTAAAAAAATTGAAAGTGTGGTGAATGAAATAAGAAAAAGTAATGTTTAATAAGTAAGTGTGCACTTATCTGCTAGCATTGGGCTTGTGAATGAGTTCCCATCTTGACCCACTTGGCTATCTAGATCAGGTTTGGTCATTGTTTCATAACCACCTGGTTCACCCGATTACATTTTCTCCCTTTTCAATTTCCAATTTCGAAAAAGCCCTAACCCTTCTCTATCGATTCCCAATTCATTTTCATAAACCCTAATTCGTCTCCCCTCGTAACAATACCCCTCCACCAGATGATCCTTGTTCCCAATGATCAAAATCGGGGAACTGTTCCTCAACACCGAGAAATTTACTTAGGTAACGTTTTCTGCTCCCATGTTTGTCCACTGTATTAAAAGCTGGGTCATTGCACGATTCTTTCTCTTGACGATCCTTTTATCCAAAACCATGGGAGGATAAACCTTCAGCACACCTCATTTTTTTTCTTGAGGAGACTAACATGAAAAATTGGATGGATCTTCAATGTTGCTGGTAATTCGAGTTTGTGGGCTATTTTACCAATCCGTTTTTGAATTTTGTAGGGTCCATAGTAACGAGCAACTAATTTCAAGTTCTTTCTGAGGGCTATGGAGATTTGCTTATACAGTTGGAGCTTTAGGTACACTTTGTCCCCTTCATTAACTTCTCTATCTGTGCATTTATAATTTGCTATTTGTTTCATCCTGTTGCTTTCTCTATATAATTGTTCCTTCAATAACTCATTCGAATATTGTCTGTTCTGGGTCATTTCTTACATTGCCCACCCTAGTTTCTTCTGACTAGGTGGCATGTATCCATAGAGTGTCTCGAAAGCGGTAATACTCAGAGTTGTGTGGTAATTTGTATTATACCACTATTCAGCCTGGGCAACCCACTTAGCCCAAGTGGTCGGTTTCTCGAAGCACTTACATATGAGATATTCCTTGAGACATTGGTTCAAGTGCTCTGTCTGACCATCTATTTCTAGGTGGTAGACAGTACTGAATATGGTAATGGTACCAAACTATTTCATCAATTCTTGCAAAAATAGACTAATAAACGATCTGTCTCGATCAGAAATAGCAATCTTAAGAGGACCATGGGGTTTGTAAATATGTTCTAAATATAATTTTATAACTTCAAAGACTGTGTTGTTAGCATTAGTGCCCCCTAGGCATATTGTATGGACATTATATTTTGATTTTTGGATTTTATTATTATCATTTGCGTGTAGTTTTATTATAATATCCTTGAATAATATTGTTAATTATTCTAATTATCTCTAATCAATTATTATTGTGGGAACAATAAGAAAATAAGATTGGTATGAACTTTGATAGATATTAATGAGATGAATATGTGAATGAGATTCAAATCAAATTCATATGCATTTTTTGAGAACTATTATTGGACCAACTCATTTTGAGATTAATACATGGATTAAAGTTTTATATTAATTTCAAAACAGTTTTGTCATTATATCCTTAGACCTGAAATTATTATACTTCTCAACATGATGATTATTCTGTTTTGACTTAATCAAACATTATCGCTAATCAGACAATTATAAAGGTTATGCTTGAACATGACATGTAGTGGATGTGAGTGATTAAGATGGAATTTATCCCTTTTATCGTAAGAGAGATATCTCAAGGCCCCTCGATGATTGATACTGAAAAATGCATGGTTGTACTTAAATGAGTTGATAGAGATCAATATCATTTATTTAATCAGTTTAATTGGTTATCGAGAAATTGAAGATAGAGTGATATAAGGTGGACGATTTTCATGTCTTATATTCTATTAAGATATCGTGAGTTAAAAGTATTATGACATAAGATGTATTAAGGTTGTCTCAGATCATGAGCTTTTCATTTAATTTATGTAGTCATAATGTCTTGCTGGAGGCCACTTATGACTTGTACGATCAAATGTGATTTTATCTACTGCCAACATTAATGAACCTATAGAGTCGCACACTTAGAATGGATAAGAATGGTAGTGATTATTACTATAAATGATAATTTAAGACAATGAGATTATTTTAAATTATATTATAATAATATATTATTTATTATTTGGATTTAAATAAGTTAAATTTGTATTCTTTAAATATAATATTTTGTTTATTATTATTTCTTGAATATTAAATGAATAATATAGTTAAATAATATAGTAGGATTTGGATTAATTTGATTTTCTCATCAGATAAGAAATATGCTATTATTATTTATTTAAAAGTGTTTTAGATAAATAATAATTATGTTATCATTTAATTTAAAAGAGTTTTAAATAATAATTATGTTATCATTTAATTTAAAAGAGTTTTAAATTAAATATAATTTTAAAATGAGAGATTAATTAACCCTAATTAATTTATATATATATGTGTTTGTGTGTGATATATGAGTAGGGTTAAAGGTTAATCTTCTATAACCGTCCATAATAAAAAAACACACGAAAACAATTTTTTGAGAAAACGATTTAGAATTAGAATTCTATTACCATTTATCGCTCATTCGATTGTGAATACTTGTAGAAGGGTGGTCGCCTTTTAGAAATGCTGCACTTTAAAGATCTAAAGAGAATCAGAGATAATACAATATGATTTTCAAACAAGAGATTAAGGTAATCCCACGACTTTATTTTATAACAACTAGTATGATAGGCATGAGATCCTAGGATTTCCCAATGTAATTTTTGAATGTTCATCGTTTTCTTTGCCCTGATTTCCTTTTAGTGGTATCAAAGCATTTTACATGTTCATATTAATTGTGTGTATTGTGTATGATTGTTATAATATGCATTCTTAGATGTATGATATTAGGGTTTGCACGAACGATAATAATAATCTGACTTGAGGTGTTTATGCGTTAAATCTATTTTTGATATGATTCGTTAATTTGATTAGGAATTACAATACTGTTATGCGATTAAAGTGTTTAATTGTATGATTAGATCATGACAGTACAAATGTACCAATAGTGATTTACAGTTGTTTCTGTATAAGCCTTATGTGTAATGCGATTACACTGTCTAATGTGATTAAATTGGCTTTTGATTTGTTTACATATTTACTGATGAGATCAATAAAATTAAAATTTTTAGGACTAGTCGCCAATAAAGTCCGCATAAGGTTTGAATCTAGGAAGCACATTATAAGATTAATTGGCTTAAAGAACATGTCTTAATATCGCTCGTACTCTTTGTGCAATATGTATGTGATATGTGTTTCTTGATGATTATGTTTAAAGTATTCTATGGTATGATGCATAGTATGACATTTAGATTATTTTATAAGGGTTGTAAATTTTTAAATACAACCTACATGTGTTTTATTTATTGTAATTTAAATACGACTTGCGTATCGTTTTGTTGAATGTAATAACAGTCTGTGTGTCGTTTAGTTTTTAATTGTAACAAAACAAGAAGACAATACTTATTCAACCATGGTGATGGAGGAATTAGAAGATGATCCAAGGTGATTTCATGAAGATGTTTGTTACTTAGGTTCATTCTTTAGTTTAGGATAAGACCATACTATGTCACATTTATTTATTTACATGTATGTGATGCTATGTGAATGGAATGTTGTAGCATCCCAAAAACCAGGTTAGTGACTAAATTGTAAGATTTTGGAAATTGTGTCTGATTATAAAAAATTTAAAAAGTTTAGGGTCTTAATTGAAAATTCTTTGTGTAGGAGTGAATAGAAAAGAAAGAAGGATAAAGGGGCATATTATTCAATTGATAAGTAAATGAATTAAATATTCATTAGGAGTGTTTTATATTAATACGTTAATAAGGGAGAAGTAATATCAGAGAACTCTAGAGTTTTTCTTCTCTTTTCTTCCTCTTCTCCATGAGAGCTCTATAGTTAAGGTGAGATTTTTCTATATGATTATTTCTTGCAATTTATTAATGATTTTGATTATTTCAGCATTAGGAAAGGTTATGGAAATTTAAAGAGAAGTAGAAACTAAAAGAATATCAAGTTACGGGGGATTGAACATAAAGGGTTTTTAAGTGAATTTGTGGAAAAGAGTTAGCAAATAGATTTTGAAGTTATAATTGACTTGTCATTAACTAGAATAAGGAATTTAAAGTGTTAGATTTGGATTCGTGACATGATGATTGTTTGGTATAATTTTGGATTCCAAGTGTTTTAGTGAGATATAAGATATTAAGTGGTGTTTAAGGGTTATAAGTAATTATGGATAAGTGTAGTTAAGTCATATATTGAAAAGAAGAACAAAATAAAAGATTTAGGTAAGCATTGGTAAATTTTTGGGCTAGGATGAGTGTATTCTGGGCAAGGGGTATCGATACTATATGAACAGTACATATACTTCATAGTAAAAATATGCAATATTTGGGTATGAGTATCAATATTGGATGAACAATATCGATACCATAAGATAAAAGTTAATAAATCATTCATAAGGTATCTATATCGAAGTGGTAGTATCGATACCATGGGGATCGATACCAATATATAAGTAACAGTACCATTTTTATAATGAAATTCTAGAATCGAGAATAGGTATCGATACCGAAGTACAATATCGATACTATATGTAGAGAAGTATCAGTATTGTACCTTAAGTACCGATACTAGTCAAGTTAAAATTTGGAAATTAATACTTCGTTTAACTTATGTTATCCAGGATTTATTTTAGTAAAATGACTTCTGATATTTATATGGATCGTATATTCGTCTAGATACCGAGTGAAAGCAAAGTCCAGATAAGTTGACAAAGTAAGATTTAGTAAATAGATTTTGAAGTTATAATTGACTTGTCATTGATACAATAAGGAATTTAAAGTGTTAGATTTGGATTCGTGACATGATGATTGTTTGGTATAATTTTGGATTCCAAGTGTTTTAGTGAGATATAAGATATTAAGTGGTGTTTAAGGGTTATAAGTAATTATGGATAAGTGTAGTTAAGTAATATGTTGAAAAGAAGAACAAAATAAAAGATTTAGGTAAGTATTTGTAAATTTTTGGGTTAAGATGAGTATATTCTGGGCAAGGGGTATCGGTACTGTATGAACAATAAAGATACATCCTAGTGAAAATAGGCAATATTTGGGTATGAGTATCGATATTGGATGAACAATATCGATACCATAAGATAAAAGTTAATAAATCATTCATAAGGTATCTATATCGAAGTGGTAGTATCAATACCATGGGTATTGATACCAATATATAAGTATCGGTACTATTTTTAGAATGAAATTCCAGAATCGAGAATAGGTATTGATACCGAAGTACAATATCGATGCCATACATAGAGAAGTATCGGTATTGTACCTTAAGTACCGACACTAGTCAAGTTAAAATTTGGAAATTAATACTTTGTTTAACTTATGTTATCCAAGATTTTTTTAGTAAAATGACTTCCGATATTTATATGGATCGTATATTCCTCTAGATACAGAGTGAAAGCAAAGTTTAGATAAGTCGACAAAATAAGATTTACCAAGAGAGAGATAAGAGATTAGTGTTGACCAGTGAGAACAAGGTGAGTGCATACTATTAGGTATATCATGTTTTATGGAAATGAGACTTGCGATGAGTCTATTTCCCATATTACAATGAATGAATTCATGAATATAAGCATGTGTTTGATATAATTCTCTTATGTGCATGAGTACATGAATATGGGTATATGTGTCATATGTTATTGTATGAGCTACATGATCTATATGAATATATGTATGTGTGGTAATTGTGTGAGTTAATATAAATGACCTATGAGATTAAATGGAAAGGCGAAATAAGTTCAATGACGGTGATCTATGTGACTATGTGAGAAATGATACAAGCTATGTGATTATGATCTATATGAGTACATGTCTATGTGACGATTTGTGTGAATATGTGAACATGTGAAATATATAAATGGTAAAGCCCATAGTATGTGATATGAGAGCTGATGGTATAATCGACTTGTCAAGAGTCGAGGGTTCTACGCGGTCCTTCGGGACATTTCTACACTGTTTTCTATGACATCTATGTGGTCCTTCGGGACATTCTATGTGGCACTTTGGTGCATTTTCTAAGCAGTACTTCGGTGCAAATTGTACGAGTTGTGGTGACCTCATTTGTGCATAACCTCAATGCACTCACATATCTTTAGTTCTCAGAAA